GAACCCCCCCTCTTTTACCCCCCGGGGCCCAAAAAAAACCTTTTTTAAAAAAAAAAAAAAAAAAAAAAAAAAAAAAGAGTATTTCTTCCCCGAGGGTAACAAGGGTGGAGTGTATTTATCATGGCTATTAGGGATGGTGCCATAATTACAATAATAAAATGGCTCTGACTGCTGTGATGTCCTGTACCTGATGCTGTCATTTAAGAATAAAGGAAGAAGTGGAGGCAGCTGCACCGAGCGTGGGGCTCAGATACCTTGGCTGGCATCCTAGGACTATCACATGCAAGACGGAGCAAGCCCCGAAGCTACAACTTGCTAAACTAAAAATAAGTAAGGGGAAAATGCAATTAGAAACTCTAGGATAAAGTTACCAAGATGGCTGCATTATCTATTTAAGCAAGAGGTATGCGCTTTTCAAAAACAGAGAGCAAGTATATAGGGCATCAAGTGGCGGGGGAGGGAAGGAGAGAAACGCGAGCTAAATGAAAAGAGTAGGGACTAGGTTTTGGATATGCGAACGGTGAAGTTATTTTCTGCTTCTGGTATTTCACTTTCCTCAGTATGATGATGATCTAGATTCTTTTAAGGGAGCGTGCCGCTTTTTCTTTTTTCTCTATACACTTAAACTTCACCACCAAAACAAAAAGGCACGCCATTATGATTGTTAATCATTCTGAGTGGATTTGGTCAGCACAGAGCATTTGTACTTTTTTTTTTTTTTTTTTTTTTGGTGCAAAACGTGGCGCGGATCACCAGAAGGTCGTTAAAAACAGCAAAAGGCAGACGGGCTGAGACAGGTTCCAAGAACCGAGGCTACCCAGAAAGGAAAACTTTCTGCACCTGAAATGAAAGTGCCCATGAAGTGAAACGGGAGGCTGGCTGAAATGGGAAGAGGAGGGAGGATGGCTGTGCCTCTGTCCTCTCTCGGCACCAGCCTGAATAGCGGGCTGTGGGGCAATGTTCTGGAGGGGCACAGACAGAAGAGGAGCCGGTGACTTTTTTTTTTTTTTTAAAAGACCTCCTTTTCTTTTCAGTCATGGAGAGATGGAAACCTGCCTGATCCAGACACTCCAAGGGAAACAACAGCAGTGGAAAGAGATTGGCTCTTTTTGGAGGCTGCAGACGGGGCTGCGGGGGAGCTAAACCCAGTGCTGGGGAGGGAGCGGGACCCTGGGTGGGGGGAGCTTTGCTCAGGTACAGGGTGGTGGCCAGCAGAGGCACCTTTAGAGGCTCCCGGGTGACTTCAAAGGGGCTGGGAAACCTCGCGAGTCTGGGGGGACAGCTGAGCCCCCCAACCCACCCACACGTATACCCCACCACCGAAACGAAACCCTAGAAGCCACCACCTAAGAGATGCGGAGGATAAGAGCAAAGGAGGCAGATGATGATGCATGGGGCTGGTATTTGAAGGCGCTGGGCACTGCCAAGCCTCGGGGGTGAAATTACACACACATGCACAAACACAGCGGACTTACTTTCAGGGTAAAAAGGCTGCATGTCTATTTTGTAAACTTCTTTGGCATAATACTCCTCGTCGCTCCTCTCCCTTTCGCAAGTGGCGGCTCTGTGGTTGGCTTTCTCTTGCAGCAGGTCCCTGGTGCTGTTGTAGATGGAGATGACCTCCGGGGGCACCTCCTCGGGCTCGGGGTACTCGTCCGGGGGGCTGGTGAGCTTCAGTTTGCTCAAGATCTGCCCCCGGATCGCCTCGATCCTCTTGCGCATAAACTGATCCATGTCGAGGGTGCTGCAGGTAGACAGGCTGAAAGCCACGGTGGCCAGATCCACGGTGAGAAACACGCTCAGGAGATAGCAGTGCATTTTAAGTGTTTAAATACAGCGCCCCCCAAAAAAAGAGTGACTTTAACAACGAACAACAACGGAAAAAAAAGTAAAAAATAAAAAGGGGATGTGTGCAAACAAAGGGAAGATCTGCAGACAAAATGCAGTTAAAAACCGGACTGCAAGGACGACTTGCAATCGCAAAACGCACGGGAGGCGTCAGTGAAAAAAATACCAATAAAAAAAAAAAAGAAGCAAGTTGCTACAACTAGATAAAATTCGGGTGTGGAGTGAGCCGCACAGCAAAAAAAGGGGAGGAAAAAACCCCAAACAGATAAACAAACCTGCGAATCAAGTAAATGGAAGAGAGACCGTTCTCAGCGCGCTGGCGGAGCAGGCTGGAAAACAAAAAATTGAAGCGAAAAAAAAAAAAAAAGGAAAAGGAGGGGGAGAAGAGGCAGTGATGGGTATTAAAGGGCGCTGCCGCAGCCGG